CCGACAAGCTCGACTTCGGTTACCGGCCAGCACAACTCGAATATCTGAAATTGCAGTCGGACCGACGTTGCCCCCCTAAACCGACTTCGGCACCTTCAACTTCGTCGGTCAATACCAACCTTAGCACGGGATCGGATGACTGACTTCAATCAACGGCGCCGCCCGACTCAATCAACGGGCGGCACAAAGCTCCGATCTCTAAAATCACAGATGCGGCCGACCTTCGGTTGCCCCGCCGAGATCCGACTAACCATCCACTGACCTCAAAATAACTCAACCTCCAAGCAGCCATCGAGGTCCGATTTACCGACACTCCACCCGAGTTGACCTCGTCGTGATCTAATAGAGCAGACCCGGCTTCCTCTATGGCCAGATTCTGTCACAAGCCACATTGTTCATTGGAAAATCTGAACGGTTTCTTGTAAACGGCGAAAGGGAAATAAGTGCGATATATTCAAGCCACATAGTTTATATTTATATTGTTACTAATGGTAAACTATATAAAATGTGATATGCTCATTACCTAACTTATAATTTTAAATATTACATAAACATACATGTAACCTACAGTTTTATTTGCAGTATTTGTGCACGTGCACAGGATAAAATATGCTAGTTATGATATATTTTGTTGATTTTTGTAATGCCGCATTGAGTTAAAAGGTTGTTTGGTTCCCTTTTTTTTACTAATAAAAATATGATAAAAAAATTGACATGTTCAATTTAGCTGTAGGTATTTTACAAAAGTCGCTATTCCCTGTCACGATTATGAATTAAAGACGATTCTTGGACTCCACTGTACTCATATAATACATACATTACTTACCACCACAATTTTTTGCCGGAAAGTGGTTAAATATGGCTGAAAAAAGATGAAAATTTAATGTCCGTCCATCGTCGATCACGTCTTCTGCCGGAGTTCTTATCGTCGGAGAACTGAAACTGCAAGAAAAAGAAAGGGAAGCGGGAAGGGAAAAAGTGACTACGAGGGGAAATTCGTGTGTGGAAGAAGATAACAGAAAAATAATAAAATAGTATTGTAGTTGGGTGATGTGATTTTTTTTTATTTATGCTTTATTTTAGTATTAGAGAGTTAAGTGAAAAATTTTAGTGGGCTCAGCTGGTGCAATAGAAAAAAATAAAATAATAAGAGACTGAAACCGAATTTGTAATAAATGGCCAGGAATTTAGAACCTCTTATTTTTCTTAGTGTCTAAAATTTGTTATACATATCACATCATCGATCAGAGTTTAATGTATGTAGTAGCTAAAGTAGAAAATACTTCTAACACGGGAAATTACAGAAATTCTATGGCGCCCATATGGGCACCATATGGTGCTCATATGGACGCTATAGAATTTCTGCGGGACCCTACAATAAATATGTTATTGTAGGTCTTCTACGGATGGAAAAAATGAGAAGAACCGAAATTACATACTTTTCCATTTTTAAAGTTTTCTCAAATTTAAATACTTCCAATTTGATTAAATCTATATATATATAAAGAGGGAGTTGATGGAATTTATTGCTAAATAAAGATGATATGCAATGACTATAATTGGCAACATTTCTACATTTGGTTGTATAATTGTAAGTTTAATTATTTTTGCATTTGTCAATAATACTTTAGATCCGTGTTTCTATTTGCACTTTCTATTAACTTAACTAAATTAGTATCCAATTAATAATTCAAATTAATATGGAATCTACATTAATATTTATGCGACTTACTATTCAGCTACCTTTGAAGTTTCTAAAAGTTATTGATTGAGAATTTTAAGTAAAAAATCTATATAAAAATAATAATAAATTTCTGTTTCAATTTTCTAAAAATAAAAAATCAATTTTAAGTATGAGAATCATTCTGATATTTAATAATACATAAAAATATATATTTAATAATACATAAAAATATATATACCATCAATTAAGATAATGACACCCAATGATACCATAAATATACGAACCTATAATTTTACCATAAATCTATATCTATATCTATGTCTATACCTATATCTATATAATGGACCAATCTTTATTGTCATAATTGACATGATTTTGGGCGAGAAACTTTTTAATCTATATTTTTCATTTAATTAATATTTATTTATTAGCAAATCATATGCATAAAAAATATAATTAATTTTTATACACTCAATGAGACAATGACTATTACTCATTAACTACAAATTGACTTAAATTAAAATTTGACTGTAAATTTATTAGATATATTTTAAGTAAGATCTTCTATTAATTTAATAGTAATTTATTAGCATGATTCAAAAATTTATTATGAAAGTTGATTTGATTAAATATATTATCATCTATGGCAGTAGGTATTAATTTAATTAATTATATTCACTATTCAAAAGTACTTAAAATATTTAATAAAATAAGTAGAATAACTATGTTTAAAATCATAATAACTTAATAAATAATCTAAAATATTAATACAAGTTTCAAATATGTAGTCAATTTAACTATAAAAATGTACATCCCCATTGAATATATCACATGCAGCAATAATAGTATTAAAAATTTAAATAATACTAGTAAAAATAAAATTTGATGGTCAGGTGCAATTCAAAATTATAAATTCCACCTTAGAAGTACCTATGTACATTAAAAACTATCCAATTTTTAAAAATATTTATTTTTTTCTTATATACTATTTTATAAAGGAAAAATAAGTTAATAAAAAAGGAATGTATAAAAATTTAGATTATAGCACTTGGTAATCATGAAAATATATAATATATCAATATATTCGAATAGATACTATGTAACTCATTATATAGGTTGAAAAAATGAGTTAAAGAAATAAATATAAATAAAAATGGAAACATAAAAATAAAATATTTAACCATAAAAAAGTTGTGTGTTGCATAAGGATTAAAGTCACTAAAAATTAAAGTTTGTTTATCAAAGTTTTTAACATTTAATGCACTTAATAATTCTAGCGGAAGATAAATATTATGGGTTAAACGTTGGCCAATTATCAAGCAATGTGCAAATTATAAATTGTTAAAAAAATTATAAGACTGTAATAAACGACAATTTTATAAGTACATACAAATAATTTGTATGCAAATATCATATGATCTTTTACATTTATAATATTTTATAAACTTATAAATAATAAAATTTATATATTAAATAGTCAAAAACTACAAAAAAATACAAAAATAGAAATTAACAATAATAATAAATAAATAAATGTCATATTATTACTGAATAGAATATTATGGAGAATATAATTTCATATTATCTTAAATAATTTTATAATATTTCAATAATAAATATTTTATGTATTACACTCCGTGCATCGCACGGGTATCAACACTAGTTTTATTTCTCAAATTTAAATACTTCCAATTTGATTAAATTTTCCTATCATTGACACTGTTCTAATAAAAGGCGTTAGACACTGATGGCTGGAGCCTAGCCCCATGCGGGAATTAGAAGGGATTGTAAAAATATTAATAAATTTAGCTATATTTATTATCATAGGTATAGCTTGCAAATCATATTTAATAATTATATTGATTAATATGATTGAATACAAAGATTTTCAAAAATATTATATACTCATAATTATTATTTTAGTTTTACATGATTATTATTATTTTTTTAATTTTTTTAATTAATGTACATGAAATGTATTAAAATGAAAATCTATTTTTATTCTATTAATTAAATAAATAAAGAAAACAAATATTAAAAAATTTAACGGGCGTCTTGGTTGCTGCCTGTAACAGTTAGGCGTGACTAACTTCACAAGTGCTTGGATGATTAGGCTACGCCTAGCCCGCCTAGATTGAAAATCTGGGTACTCGGGTACCATATAGCGCATACCCCAAGTTTTAGAACAATGCTCATTGGTTTTTTTAGTATTTTCATTAATGAATAGATAAAACAATAGCTACCTTATTATAGCAATTTTTCCATACTTGGGATATTGATCGCGAGTCGCAATAACTAAGTATATCACAAACTGATTTCTGCATATTCCAGAAACGAAAAAAATACTACGACAAGTGGTAAATAAACATCAATAAAGGTAAAGTAAAGCTGTGATTATTTCAGTTAGTAGGTTTTATAGGATACTAATGAAGCCATGAAGGAGAAGATTTATTCTTCTAATTTCTATAATTGGTCTCGACTTTATCTTCTTTCTTCCTTTTTTAGAGCCTGCATTTATTTAAAATTGTATGTTTTTAAAGTATGTGAAATAGATGTGTATTAAATAATCTTCTTAGCCAGTGGATCAGGTCACATAGAGGGGAGACTTTGTGAACCAATTACTATATATAATAATAAAAGCTTATTTTCAAATTTTTAAAGTTTAACAAAGTATGGGCATAACAATATTTATAGGAAAAGATATGAAGTTGGAATGCATTGGATATAAGGCATTTTGGATTTGATTAAATTTTTTAAATAATTAAGATCATTTTGAAAAAAAATTGATTGATTACTACTAATACAATAAAATATAACAATTTATAATAGAATTTTGCCACATCTATCATTAACCTATTTTATTGTACGTCTCCTACCAAAGAAACAAAAAAAGTAAGAAAAGAAAATGACCATTTCTATTTTTTACTACGAACATTAAAGCTTTCATTAAGTTAAAAACTTCCAAATTCCAATTAGATCAACATTTGCAATTCGAATTTTTTTCTTTTGGCAATAAATTAATGTTGAGGTAATATTTGCAATGGTGCTATTTATGCATGCTACAAAGCTCCACAAATAAGAATTGTCTCACGTCCCATAATACATAACAAGAGGTGCTGAAGAAGAAGATGAACTTATATATATATAAGTCGCATAACCTATTGTTTGGTTCATAAAAACTACATAGGATAACAAAGGACTATATAAATTGATTCGTTTCTACCGTAGGAATTAGAA